TGTGTGTGTGATGTGTGGTGTGTACATGTGTGTGTGTTTGTGTATATGTATCTATGGTGTGTTTATATGATGTGCAGTATAGTATGTGTGGTGTGTATGTGTGGTGTGTTAGTGTGATGTGTGGTATGGTGTGTGTGTGTGCACGCGCATGCACGCGTGTGAATGTGTGTATGACTTTGTGTGGTCCTCACCTTCTACCTTGTTTAAGCAGGGTTTCCTGTTGTTTGCCGTTTTAAGGCCAGGCTAGCTGGATGAGCCGGCCTACAAGGATTCCCTTGGCCTTTCACCTCCCTACCCTACTGTGTCCAGTTTTATGTGGCTTCTAGGGACCCACACTCAGATTCTGATGCTCATGTAGCAAGATCGTCTCTGTAGCCCCACCATGTCCTTTTTAAACCATATTCCACTCTTGTGTTGGTGGACCATGATCTGGGATGCACTTGTTATACATTAACAGGGAACAGACTCTTGACTTTGGCACCTGGCAATAATGACATAACATATGAACCAGGGTGTTGGAGACAAGCGAAAAGCCGGTTCCTGCAAACAAACTTCCAGATGTTTGCTAACACTGAGGTGTGCTGTCTTGGTCAATCATCAATCTAGCACATGGCCTAGCAAGGGTAATACTGAGAAAAGCCTGAGAGGGTGTCTGCAGGCTGCGTGTGGGACAGCCTGGACGTACATGATGTAGCCTGTACCTCAGAAGGAAGATCAAGAGACCACAGAGATGCCAGGGGCCTTTAAGAAGTAAGAGCTGAGATTTGGAATTATATTGTATTTTACTTTTTTTCATGCTTGGGGCCTTATTCTTCTAGGCAAAGCACCTCTACCACTGAGCTACATCCCTAATTCAGAACCCGGGAGTTTATGATTCTTACTTTATTCTGTGTGTATTAATGTTTTGCCTATATGTATGTCTGTGCATCACATGTGTGCCTACGGAGATGGCATTAAATCCCATAGAACTGGGGTTCCATATAGCTGTGAGCCACCATGTGGGTGCTGAGAATTGAACTCTGGTTCTCTGAAAGAATAAGCAGTTGTCCTAACCACTGAGCTACCTCCCTGGACCCATCTAGGAGTTTTTAGTCCACTGAGAAGTAAAGGCCTCTTTTCCAGGGTAGCCTGAATAATGCTTCAACTCTAACCTTTTTGTGTTTTGGTTGTCAAGAAATCATAAATACATGAGGCTGGAAAGATAGCTCAGGGGTTAAGGAGCATTGGTTACTTTTCTAGAGGACCTGGGTTAAATTCCCAATACTTGCATGGCAGTTCACAATGCTCTATAACTTCAGGCCCAGGGTGTCTAACACACATGATGTACAGATACACATGTAGGCAGAACATTCATTCACATAAAATAAAAATAATGGCTAAAAAGCACTATAGAAAAACAAACAAAAGAAACTATAAAGGCGGCATGCACACATTGCTGTCAGGGAAGAAGGGGCTCTCGGGATTGGGGAGAACACGAAGGGCTGAGAAACGCTTCCTACTTGGTTGCCCCATCTGGTTTGTTTACAAAGACTCCCACGAGGGAGGCCAGTTGAGATCTCCTGAAACTGGAGTTGTCCAGACCAGGGCTCCCCTCAAGACCTACATGTTGTTTTTCTTCCAAGGAACTGGGGACTTGGTCATCTGTGACTCACTTCTCCTGTGTTGCCTACACAGCTCACACGTCAAGGTCTAAAATGGCAAATGCTCCCTGCCACTTTCCGGCCCCCACCAGCCACGGTCACAGGTTGGGGTCAGACACCTTGCGGGAATGTGTGCAGCTCCACCTTCGGCTTGGAAGTCAGGAACCCTCAGCTCCTCCCTCCCATGAAACAGAGCATGACCCAGAGAATAAAGTTTTCCATTTCCTACCCTCACGGCTGGTGTTGTAATACTCCTGTTGTCTCAAAAGCCCTCTCCCGTGCCCTTGTGGTGGCAAAACCATGAACTGGAGAGTGGGGTCTAGGATGGGGTGGGAGGGGATAAAGGGAGGTTCAGAGAGACTGGGGGTGATAGGAATCAGAATGTCCTATATACATATATGAAACTGTCAAAGGACAAATTCGATAAAAGTTAGATGTGGGGTGTGTGTGTGTGTGTGTCTCAACTTTGAACACTCAGATGAGTCTTATGGAGCAGGATAAGGGTTCATCTGGTTGTGGGGCTGTGGTTAGAGGCACAGAAAACTTTGGTAAAAATGTCATTGACACTGAAGGGACAGCACCGCCATTCATGAAATAGTCACTGCGCTGAGTGCTTTCATATATGCTATCACACTTCCCTAACAACCCTCTTGAGGCTACCCCCGTTTTATAAATGAGGAAAGAGGATCAACCGAAGTCTTAATTTGCCCAAGGCTGTACCACTCTGAGGTTCCAGAGCTGAGAGTTGAGAGCTGGTAACTGAACCATTGAAGTCACTGTTTCTTACTCCAGCTACCACCTCACCCACCACACCTGCCGTTATGTCCTCCCTCCCAGTTCAGGAGTCCCATCTCCTCTACATCCCGACACTCTCCTCATCAGGACCAAAGGAGTCAGGAAAGGAGTTGGGGGCTTGTTTCAGAATGAGGTGCTTTCTGGGTTAAAAAAAAAAATCTGGTTTTGGAGGCCTTGGACGGGAAGGATGAATGAACATTTTATCAACACAAATGTCATTGGCAGCCCCAAAACAAACAGCGTCCCACCCGGCTTGCTCCTTTATGAGGCATTCAATCAATAAAATGAGAGCAAGGCTCTGTCAGATTTATTGGCTGGGTTCAAACTGAACACCTCTTCTACCCGCCAAAGGCTGGGTCACCAGCCTACCTTTTGGTTCCTGCTCTGGACAGCCCCCATTTTCCCTGGTGGGGCTACAATGGTTCATTGTTTGAGGCAGGCCTTGTGAGAAGTTGTGTTTGTCTTGCCTCTTATCTTATCAGCTCCAGTGGCCCAGGAGTACTCACCATTTTACTGTCAGGTGAGAGGAGACTGTGGCCCGGGTCCAGGCTGGCCGGAGAAACTTGCTGTAACACCGACTGGCTGGTCACCATGGCACTGTTACCATGGTGACTGATTGTCGAAGAGGAAGTGACCTCATTGTTTCCCGGCTGGCTATAGCGCACTCCTGCAAAACAACATGAACCCAATAGGAAAATTAGTGTCGCCAGGGCCCCTGGACACTGACTCAGTGACTCCTGTTTTCAATGGTGGGTGACAAGAAAACGGCATTGTTTTCTCCTCCATGTCCACTCACAAGAATGATCAGCCATCTTCCCTGGGGTAAGGGTGGTGTAGCCTCTACTTTAATTGTAGAATATAAGATTATATATGAATTTCATATACAAATATGTTTCACCTGTTTGGTTGGGAGCCTTAGCCTGCACTAGCTGAGGCAACTCTCTAGCCTGGTGTAAGACACTTTGGTCCATTTTGGTTTTTTTTTTGTTGTATTGCTAGGGTTTTGGCACTTGATAGTCATTCAGTCAACTTCTATTGAAAGATGAAGGGATGGAAATGATGGATGGGCAGACGGAAAGCAGGAGAAAGAGTTGAACCTTCTGAAGGCATGGGTCTCTCTGAAGGCAGAGGCAGACCAACCCACAAGGGTGAGGCAGATTTCCAATCAGGATAAGGAAGAATTTTCTAGCAAGAAGGGGCAAAGGACAGACTTTGGGACTTATAAACAAACAAGTTCAAATCCTGCTTTGGCTCTGCACCTCTGTCTCCTCCCATGAAACAGAGAGAATACTGTCTCTCTCCAGGGCTATTCAAGGATCGGAGGCAACACTGCGGGCAAAGGTACTTGGCAGTGTGAGCTGATAGTAGGATAGACTTCAACACATGAAAATGAAAATTCTCTAATTCTAGGACTCCTAAGGTCAGATTCTTAGCACGGATGGAATGTTCTGGTAGAGGGCAATTTCTAGAGGCTCCTGCTCTGGCAGACTGATCGCTGCATTGCTCAGGAAGCAACTTGGCAGGAGGCCTGGCTGCTGCACTGCTGTTCTTTCTTTTGGAAGCATCTGGACTTCACTCTGATTTCACCTGCATGTTTTGACTCCCTGACCAGCTATTTACCTTCCCAAGATACCCTGCTCCCGAGAGAGCGTCGATAACACTGGGAGTCAGGTGTGTGCTCACCTCCCAGCCTGTCCCCACCATCGATTCGGTCTCAAGTTAAACAGTCTCTGGACTTAGCCTATTTAATTTGGCTTAGGAAAAGAGCCAGCTCTCTGATGATCAAATATGGGTCACAGGGAGGCTTCTCCCCTACCACAGGCTACACAATTATTTATTTTAAAATAATTAACTAAGGATAGCCATGGGAAAGAAAAGCCTTCACAAGGCGGTATGGTAAGAGTCCAGAGCCTCCCATTAGAGGCTAGGTAGCAGAACCCATTTGTTGTGTCCTAGCATTTGTACCAAGCACAGATGGATCCCTGAACTTTCCCTTTATGATTTCTGGCTGGGAGCTGGAGGATCCCTGTTTTGATCACAGCTTTGCCATCTATCTATCTACTGGGTGAGTTCCAGCTTCCTTTTCTCGAAGCTGGAGGATAGTAAGCTGTGGCAAGGGAACTGCCATCAGTGCAGTGTGCAGGGAAATTAGGTAGAAGGCTTGTCAGGTCTAGGTCCACTTGCATCCTTCCCCTCTGATTCTCCTCTCATAGATGTAATAGGCACTGGAGTGATCTTCTGGGAGTAGGGATGGACAGATATTATGAGATTGTCCGCAGGCCACACACCAGGAAGAGATGCTCTTATTAGAAAAAATAGAACCCAAGTCTTCATATATTTCACGAATTCAGAAGTGCACTTGAAATGGTAAGGAGTGAGGAAAACAGAATGTGTAGACTCTCAAGCTAGGTAATCAGATATTAAATCCTGGCTTCACTATGCCATAGCCATGTATGCTTGGGGAAGTTACTACTCTCCTTTGGGCTTTGGTTTCCTTATTACTAACAATGTTCACCCCTTAGGTCACAATGAATTAGTGGATGTGCAAGTATTCTGGATATATACTATATGATAGACATATAACAGATGCCCCATGCATCTTCCCCTCTACTCTCAGACTATCTTCATCCAAACACTTGGAAACTTCATTAAGAAGTGGGTGCTCTTTCTTTCTTCAATCACCATTCCTAGCTCTGGTCATGGAGATAGGTAACAAGGCTTCTGGGTTAACCTCGATTTACTGAAGATACCAGGTTAACTGTCACAAAAGACCTATGGGAGAAATGGCTTTGGCAGATCTTGGCCATAAGCCCTCCATGCACTATTTGGCTCAAGTCATTATTTGGTCGTGTTCATATCATGGACCCCATGAACCACAGAAAGACATCCAAGTGCGATCTAGAGACCTCCCCTAGGTGCTGGATGCTGCTGTTCTCTAGACATCATGGACCTTGGGTTATTACTGAATTTCCAGTAGCCTACGAAACAGACAGAGTGATTTCCACTCAGCAAGACTAACTAGAAGCATCCAAAGAACATAGGAAATATATGGTCTCAAGAGACAGCAACCCTGGCATTGCCTTCCTATGCCAGAATCATCTCTGGGGTACTCTTCACCAAGATGTACCCTGATATTTCTGTGTGTATGTGTACATCCCATAATTATATATGTTTTTTCTGAGGTCTCTCACTAACCTGGAACACACCAAATATGCTAAGGTAGCTAGCCAGCAAGCCTCAGGAATCTGCCTCTGCTTCCCTAGCACTGGAATTATAAAACTTGGCCACCATGCCCAGATTTTGCACAGGGTCAGGGGAGGAAATTGGGGATCAAACTCAGGTCCTCAGTCTTGCAAGGCAAGTACTTCACAGACCATTTTCTCCCTATCCTTTCTGCTCAGAAGCTTCTGATGACCCATTGCTGCTTTCTGAAGGATCCCAAATACCTGTGAATGACAGAATGAGAGCCTTACATCTGCATTCTGCCTTATTTAAAATGTATCATCCCTCACCATAGTCCATGTGGTCACCTCAGATCAGATGGCTCTGCTACTGCCTCTGTGCCTTGCCTATGCAGTTCCCTGTTCCTTCTATGCTGACAGTTCTTTTCCCTACAGTATCTCTGGGAATATGTTCTTTATTCACCCTATTACTTAATGGTCCCATCCTCTAGGCTTTGAAGACTCCAGAGCAGTGGTTCTCACCCTTCCTAATGATGCAACCCTTTAATACAGTTCTTCATGTTGCAGCGATCTCACAACAACAAAATTATTTTTGTTGCTACTTCAAAAAGATACTGTCTTGCTACTGTTATTAATCAGAATATAAATATCTGATATGACGGATATCTGATATTCAACCCCGTGAAAAGGTCATTGGACTCCCAAAGGGATCGTGACCCACAGGTTGAGAACTGGGGCTCTAGAGACTCGCCATCAGGAATCTCCTTGTTCTCTGATGTGTTTACTCTTCTCTTCCTCTCAAAGGAAGAGATGCCTTAGTTACTGTTGCTAACAGAGCACCTGGCATTGTGCCTATTTACAGACTGAAGGAAGAAGACCACAGCTGCTTTGATCAGGGGTCAAGCAGAAAGAGAAAGTATGGTCAGTTCTGTATTGAAAGTGTGAATCTGTTCCGGGCCTGTTACCAGGGGATTGCTGGGAAGCCGCGTAGATCTCACAGTTGAGAGGCACTGGATGAATTTAGAAACGTGCACAAAGCTGAGAAGGACCACGCAGGATAGAATAAACAGTCTTGTGCGTGTGCACACGTTCCCTGAACATCAGCTAGCCGCCTAGATTACTCACGGACTATAAGCCACATCCTTGCCCATCAGGAATCATAATTCCTTCTGACTGCAGACAATCCTCTGTCCTCCATGTCACAATAATGACCTGTGACCTCCTGACACCTACTTCCTTAAGCAAACTTCAGGACCCTTTCAGGCCCAACTGCCATGTTTATTGTTGGACAACATTTATGCTTTTAACTGGCAGACTGTAGCAGTTGTAGACTCTGCTAATGCTCTGATGGAAAGCTTATTTTATAATGTGTCACCAATGGTGTAATTTTCCCCAACAGCCCTGTGACTGTTCTTATGCAACTTAGGCACCTCTGTATGTGTGTGTGTGTGTGTTTAGATGCATGTGTTGGTTTATATTAGGGGTGTGTGTGGGGGTATGTGTGTGTGTTTAGACGCATGTGTTGGTTTATACAAGACCAGCTGTGCCTCCTGTGTTCAGAGACAACCATGATCACTTTACAGGAGGATTCCAAAGAAGGCCTGTTCAGGTGTCACAAGTCTGTTTCAGGAGCTTCCACCGAGAGCTCATAGACCTAACTATGTAGCCCACCTCTCTAAGACGCTCAAAAACCAGCAAAGACTTTAATTCTGGAAACTAGCGAAGCATCAGTCCCTAGACATTTAAAACTCTGTTGGTCTGTCTGCCTGCCTGCCTGCTTGTCTGTCTGTCTGTCTGTCTGTCTGCCTGTCTTCCCTTTCAGTCCATTATGATTCTGGATCAGTCAATTGTTTAGGCTTCCTCTGGTTATACATGCTGGATTAATAAAATACTGTTAATAATGTTTTCCTGGGAGACAAAATGCTAAAACTGCTAGGTGAACAGAAGAGCAATGCCAATCAGGAAATCGTGTCTGGAATTCCTCTTGTATATGGAGAGAGAGGGGAGTGGGGACTCTTGGGTAATGTGGGCTCGGCTTGTCCTTTACATAGCCTTTGGCACTGAAGCCTTGGGGGGCTCTCTTGATCGGGATCTGTAGGTGACCCCAGGACCTGGTGGGATGCCTTCACCTCTGACACTTCATTTTGAAGCCAGTTCCTATTCGTGATAATGAAGGAATGTTCCTCCAGTTAGTGGACCTATGCCAGCTCGACTGAGCGCCCCAGCCACCGGCAGAGTAAACATTACTCAACTGGCCAGGGCTCTGTCACACACATTCTTCCTCTGTGTTCCTAACCTCATGCAGAGCACAGCCCAAACCCATTGAGTCTGAGAACTAGATATCTGAACTGGGGTAGGAGGGAGCCTGAGAAGGAGATAGTTCTTCCAAAATGAAGCCATTGTGCCCATTAATCATGGTCAGACGAAACTGTCCTAGGAAGCCCCAATCTTGTACTGCGAAGTGGAGGGTGGAGGCATTAAACTA